CCTAATGTTCTTTATATTTGCTTTTGGCAAAAGTTGTGTGTACACTAAATACGCTTGGCTGGAATTGAAAATAGTAAGTACTTACAGTCGTATAGTAATTATTTGTATGTACACTATAAATTGAATAATTTACACAGTCCAGCATTTTTTTCTACGCACATCATACTATTTTTGTCGATCAGTACGAATGACCTAGCCCTTAATTCTGAGAAATCTGGAAACAGATTTGAGTTTAACATAAAATTAACGAGATTTGAAAGGTACGCATTTCCAAATTCAGTTTTCTATCTTATTTCAGTATGAAAATACAAATATTTTAAAACGTACGTTGTTGGACGTAGAAACAAAAATATGAATCGCAAAAGGGGAAAATCGATGTAGATTGAACGAGATTTAAATACTTACTAAACCTATTTCTAGTAGGACTGGTCATTTTTATGTCACGTCGATTCCGAAAATCGGGTTATCCTTTGTAAACATGTTGAAATTCGGTATTTATTATTTTTAAGGGGAAGAAGGTTAGTAGTTCATTTATATCATATTTCCAGAAGACCAAAACAAAGTCGCTTTGAGCGCATAATCGTTTCAAAGGCGCTAAGTTGGCCTCATTGTAGCCTTTTTTTCACCGAATAGATTCAACATACAAAATAATTGTTGATAATATACCATTGAATGATGTTATTTACTATTACCGCAAAATAAAATAAATGGATAAATACTGTTCATCGCCTGTGCCCTTCGTGTATATTTAGAATTGTTTTTGTTTTAGTATCTTGTCAACAGTGAACTCGACGCCGTTATTGTTTACATGATTTTGTGTTGTACGTTTATGGCATTACCGAGCAACTGCTACATTCCTATGGTATACTTTTTCAATGAATTCATCGTTGTTCTGTTATTGGCAACGTTCGTTGGCACTTCCGCCGTGTTCGTCGTGTCGTCCATGTTTAGCAAACCAGACGTTGTCATCGGAGACGCAACATTAGCCAACGATGATTGGATGGAAATTTTGCCAGGCTTAGGCATTATAATGTTCGCCTACACGTCTATGCCAAAAGTAAAACGCCTAGTTGCTATTTATTTCGAACTATCAAATACTGCTAAACCTGATGCTAAACGCTAAAACATGGTTCTACCCCCAAATTTCTAAATTAAAAAAAAAAAAAACAAGCACAGCTACAACAAGAGTATGTGGGAGTGAGAATTATTCCAGGTTTTCTGATGGAGAAAGGAAAACTTTTTATATTTTCTCCCAGTAAAGTAACTTTCAGCCTTCAGGCAAGATTTCTAATCTATAGAATTGCTATATGCAGGTATCGGCTTAGCGGCTTAAAAGATTTAATTTTAGGTCCAGACGCATAACAAAAATTACAATTTAGCATACATTTTTCAATTAACAATATTGTGTACCGTATGGAAAATAGTTATAAAAACTATGCTTTTAAAAAAACTTAACGTATTTAGATAACAACATTAATACTCAACTTCTAAAATAAGTCCTCTGCGAGGTTTTCCTTCACACACCCTTGGCACATTCAAGTGACTGTTATAAAACAAACAAACGCTAAACTTTGTTTAAATAATAAACGATTTACTCTACTGCTTTTTTTATCTCTTACAAAGGTAATGAAAGGTGAGGACGATATGGATTCGCCAGAACGGTTTGCTGGTATGAAATTCAGCGTGCTTCGAGTGGTCATGTTCAAAATAACCAACATGTTTCTAGTGGTAGGCACTCTCGGCTATTTGTCTTATTACAGCAAAACTAAACTAGGATTTTCGTTGCTGAAAGTTATGTCGGCGAATGCATCAAGTAATTTTTTTACATCGTACGTACCCGTATACAGCTGTTATTATAATATATATCATTTTTTTTAAAAAAACCCTTAAAACAAACATAATATTATAACATTGGTACAGCCGTTTCGTTTAATTTCAGATTTTTCAATGTTCTTAAAGTTCTATACGCCTTTTACATAGCGAGCATGCACCAAGGAGTTTTCTACGAGACAAGTTTATTGTTTTGGACAACTCCCAGTGAATGCCAAAAGAACCTAGACGACGAGGTCTACTGGTTGACGAGGTTCAAGATCGGTATGATCTGGTGGTCGGGTCAGTTTATATTATCAGTGTAATTACTCTTTAAAAAAAGATGGTTATTCTACAGCTATTTGTTCTTTGTTGCAACAATACGACACAAATAAAAAAGTAAATCTAAATGTTTGTGTTGTTATTGTCAACAGCCGTCGTTGCGTGGTTCATGGATAATCGGCTGGAACGGTACATGAGCCTTTTGGGGTGTCAACATTTATGGAATGTGATGGTTTTTCCATATATCGTAGAAATGTGCTTGGTACACAAAGTTCACGGCTTGTCCGCAAAAAAGTGGGTAATCACCAAAGACATATTGTTCATTGTTGCTGGAATTATCATGTTTGTTGCCGGGCTGATAGCCAGCGTTGCTCAATTTTACCAGGATTAATAGTTATTATGTAAAATTGGTTTTAAGTTAAAATATACGGTTACATTATAAAAAAAAAAAGACTTCAGCGTGTTGTGTTTTATGTATCTACCAAACAATTGTTAGAAACCAAATAAAATAGGCTTTATACGTAAGACACGTTATTTCCTCGAAAAGTAATAAAAATTTTCTAATTTTTTTTTTTTTTACTTTACATTGAAAAGTTACTACCCTTTTTTTAGTATTTTCAAGAGCTCTATCAACTATTGGAAGTTAAATGGTAACGTATATACTCAACTTACTTTTTAAAATAAGGATAGATTGCTGCAAATTTGTACTAGTTGATATGGTTGATAATTCATATTCAAGTTGTTATAGGAAAGAAGGAGTACCTACGCACTTTACCCAACCGCACTTCTTCTCCTGCTTCCAATATATTGTCGGCGGAGCACAACGTCTGAATAATGTTTACTGAAACTCCTTATATTTGTGTGAAGTAACTTTATGCCACTATTTAAGATGAGTTGTTCATTTGTTTCTGCTATATCTAGTTTAAGTGTGGCTAACTCCTTATTCACTAGAGTAGTTAGCCAGTTATTCGATGCCATTTTTGTTAAATATAGTGCACTTACAGTTAATTTTTGTTATATACATGCTGAGGTAAGTCACCATAACAGATAATCAGCTTTGTCGATAAACCAACCATGCACCACTCAAAGTATATTAAAATAAAAGCAAAAGGTTGAAATAATGCATTTAAACTAAGTTAATGTTTTAATCGCGCAGTTTATTTTTAAACCACCCACGTACTATTCAAAATAGATTAAAGTGACAGAAAAAGGTTAAAAAAAAAAATTTATACTAAAAAATTTTTTAAAGTGAATAAATTGAAAGACAAATATCTTAATAAAGAAGAAGAATGTAAATATAAGAACATTTATCAATGTTTTTATTGCAATGTTTTACTTATTTTTTTGTAGCTTTAATTGGTGTCTCATTTTTAAGCTTTATTATTTTTGTTTCAGCTTTTTTTCTGGTAAGTATATCACCATTATTTACCCAAACATATTTAAAACCTTTAAGTTTTGCAGCTGATCTTGCTTTCCCAAACAATTGTCTCCTTGACTTTGTAAACTTTATCATCTTTATTGAAACTAGAGTATATAATATCATTGTCGCACAAGTTTCATTTTGATTTCCAACTTTTAATGATGGATTTTTTTCATTTTCATATCTATTAATCTAAGTAGACATTTTAAATACACAACGCTAGCATTTACATATTTTTAGTTCCTAATAAATCCGATTTGTAAACATTTTATTTAAGATACAATAGTTAAAAAAACTGATATACTGTATCACTTGAAACGTATTTTTAATTAATAAAAACCTACTTAATAAAATCCGTATTCGGTTAATTATCTAATGTTGACAAATTGGCTTTTGTTGATCGATAAAATTTGATAATGCCATCATATAACTAACTGGAACATACCTACGTTTACTCTGTAAAATCACTTTAATAAAAAAAACAGATAAAAAAAGCGTTTTTGCGCACGTAATACAAACTAGATAAAATACGATAAACAATTTATACTTATTGTATCAAATGATTTAATTTCAGAACCGTTAAACAGCGTGGTGACCGAATGTCGTTCAGATAGACAATGGTACTAACCGAAAATTAGTGTTTTCGTTGCGAAAATCAAATGTACCGTAACTTGACTTAAACGTTTTTTTAAACTTTTTAGTTGACCATTTTTCTTTTCGTTAATACCATAATTTCGTTGTAGTTTCAACAAATAGTATACATTTTTAATGGGTGATGTTTTTAATCTCGTGCTATAATGGTATATCTAAAATAGAAAACAAGTAACAAATACTATATTATGTAAATTATAGTGTACAATTCTTGTCAATTGCGTGCTTAAGATGTATTTAAAATAAATGTTTGAAATCCCTATGTTATATTTTGTGGTATTATTTAAATAGTTTTTTTTTTAACTGAAAGTATTCCCCATAATGTTGAAAATCTTAAAAAAAGTGATAACAATAAACAAACCATAACCGCGCCAACATTACTCACTTTTTATAGTTTCTGAACACGTGGAATAGTTACTATAGAAATCATGTAGCTAATAATAATACTATAACTATAATATTTACAATTATTAACATTTACCATCGTGTTACTTGTTTTCCCAGCAAGAGTTAGTATATTTTTTGAAAGTATCGCGTGCCTTGGATTTGCATCATGTCCGATGACTGTAAGGCCATCTTTTACTGCCAAAACGACGGGGAGATGAGTAACTTGACAATGGGTAATAGCACCCCGGGATGCGAGTCTGTAACTAATAACCGTCCGAGTTACATGTATCCTGAATTCGTCAACTCTTTATTAAGTAACGCTAATATTATATGAATTCATAAAATTGTACCTGGAAAATGCTTATGAAAATTCTGCGGTCAACACACAGGTGGCATGGCCGGTATAGGAATAGGCGTTTCGATAGGATTGAATACATTTATGGTCAGCCAAATGATGCAAGCCGACAACGATTTCGCTGAAAACGGATGTGCAGGAAAAAATTTGGTTACGTGGATTACGGCGTCTTACTGTTTGGGAGTGTTCATCGGTGGTTGCACCCAAACTCGTTTGGTCGAATGTGTCGGATTCAAGTGGTCGATGGCAATTTACGACGTTTTCGTTTTCGTAGGGTTAATAATTCTGGCCCGGTTCGATCCCACCGAGAAAGAATTCGTATGGGCGGGTCGACTGGTACAAGGTATCGGTTGTGGCGGGCTGGGCTTGCTGGTGCCGGCGTATATAGCGCAGGTTACGGATATCGATATTAAAGGTAAGCTATGACAAGATATAACCAGAACGGGTTTACAACCTAGTTTTTAACTATTTATCTCTTATTTACAAGTATACGGTAGGCAAACTGTTTTGGTGCTCGTGTTGTCATGCAAAACAAATAGTGCAACCAAAAAAAAGAGTATATTTTAACCCGTCCTGTTGATTTTAAGCTCGCACTGACGTCACACGTGACAACAAGTCAGTGATTTAAAATCCCACTGGACTGGCAATACAAAAAAAAACCCAATACCGTTTCTTTTATTGTAGGAAATTACTTCGGATAGCAAAATATGTTCACCGAATTTTCGTAGGGCTCTTTAGAAATTTTTCTTTTTTGTTTTCAATTTAAAGCTTGACGGCTATTGACTAATATCTGAACTTTGATGTACTTTAACAGCTAGGATGCAGGTGATACATCAAATGTTCATTTGCTTCGGAATGTTTGCCGCGTACGACATAGGAATGATCAGTCAATACAAGCATTTAGTTTATTTGTGCACACCTTTGCCTTTTTTCCATTTGTTACTCGTGTATTTCATAGCTGAGTCACCGTATTACATTTTCGACAAAGAAGGCTACGAATGCAATGCCGGCGGATACCATAGAAGTCTCCGAGTAATTTAAAAAATCAATCTTCTCCTCGAAGGAAAACGTTAGATCATGAATATGTCTTATGATCAGCTGATTTTTTATCTATTGTCAATCGTATCTTATCAGCTATTTTAAATTATTTTTACATATTTTGGTAAGGTAAAAAACACCCGTCCTCGCCGTTTTCCCACCTTCATTAGATAGTAATGATGATACAGATTAAATCAATCAATTTGTCTAATCTATAATAAATATAAACTATAATCACTGATCTCTTATCACTAACACCCATTCCTCTATTATTTAACGCGATAGGTATTTTACATGTAATTAATAACATTTATATTCGTGACAATGCCATGAACGTTTACGCATATTTTCCATTGACCCTAGCTATAAAACATTTTGATGTCAACATCAATAATCGTTAATCAGTTGTTCAGTTACCGTAGTAGTATTTTCACATTGCTCTAGCAAACCACGCAAAAGAATCACGACGAAACGTGCTTACCGTCAGAATTTTTACATAGAACCCACACCCAACAAGTTGCCATCATTGGAACGGGACTGATGGTATTTCAACAGCTCTGTGGTGCCAATATGGTGATAATGTATGTGAAACAAGTATTACAGCCTTTCGGAGACCCCGACGACACTTCTCGTATGACTCAAACCTTGATAATATGGCTGGGCATACTTAAGGTACAACTGGTGTTTTAAGTTACTTGTGTACATAAATATTTAACTTTATGGTTAAATCATGTATTGATTATTTGTAAAAAAAAAAAAAGGTAAATGTATGATTCAGTCCTTAAAAACCGACTTTGAAAACACTGTATTTTTAAACAAAAACAAACTCATAAAACTTAATATTCCAGTGAAATACAAATATTGCACCTAAAAGTCGTAAAGTTTTAGGCATCTACCTCTATTCTAAGCATTATGGTTCTATTTTAATAAAATATTTTTTCATTTATCTTCTTTTACTATTTATTTTATTTTACGGTCATGGATTAGGATATATATATAAAACAAAGGTTCCAGTCCGCTTTCGGTTCCAAATTTATCACGAGAAAAGCATGCTGTATTGGTTTGAGAATTTCTCATTCTTATTTTATAATAAAGTCCTTTCAACTAAACCCATAAAACTCTATTGGAATCAATGGGCCTGGATGAAATCAGTCCATCACGCCGATGGGATAATATAGACGACACTATTGTGTTTTCTTAAACAAAAAGTTACAAGTTTAAAGTCCATCGTTGTGTAAATTTCTTGTAATCAAAGTTTGTGTCTAACCCTTAGGTCATTTTCTGTGTGATCGCTATTGAATTGGTTGAATTTTGGGGCCGCAAGACTTTATTGTTGACGTCTTCTCTTGGCATGGGAGCAAGCCTATCGGTATTGATAGTTTACTACGTTTTTACAAATTCTTCGGAATTTACTGTGACCGATTACAAGTCATATGTGATATTAACATACGCTTGTTTCTATTTCATCGGCTGGGGTCCGATCGTTATGGTCGTTTTCGCTGAAATCACAACCTTAAACGTGAGTATACCATACCATTTGTAAAAAAAACATAATACATTTTTGAAATTGTGTTGACTGTAAAATTATTCTCACATACAAAATTGGAAATTGAACACGGTCACAATTGCAATTTCCTTTTTTTTGTGGGTATATTGACTTTTAAGATTAATGAGAACATTGAATATGATATGACCCCATTTTACATCTATGTTCAGTGAGATTTAAAAACATTGTTATAAACTATAACTCTATGATGAGATAAAAGTATTTAGTTTTTTTAAGTACTGTACTGTCGTTCGACCTCTTGATTACTTCATTATCAAGTACAGTATATTACAGTTCTATATACAGACTCAAACTTGATTTCATTTTTGGCATTGTTATAAAATTTTACAGATTATGAAATGGGCCACTGGAGTATTCAACGCATGCGGCCAAATCGTCTTCTTTCTAGTGGTGTACTTTTTTTACAACGATCACGCTTATATGACCAACTCTGTTATTCTGTGGATATTCACAGGGGCTTGTTTCGCCAGTGCCTTGTTTGTCGTTTTATGTGTTCCCGACACGCGAGGGATGACACTTAAGCAGATTAAAGAAATGCTGGAATACGATAGTTGAACCAGATTATAAATACATAACATGTGAGCACTTCGTGCCAATGTAGAAATTCTGTACAATACATGTTTTCTTTTTTTTTCTAGAATAATACAATAAACACATTTTTCTTTGGGATTTCATTAATAATATTTATATTAAGGTTACAACTCCTTAAACTACATTATGAACTATGACTACTGTTAGTTAAAGCAGGCGACTAGATGCATCTGAGGATTTGAAATTTATACTTTATATTTATATTTATTGATATACTTAATGAAATGTAACGCTAAAATGAGCATGGAGTATACATAACTCATAATATAATTTAACAAAATATGAACTTTAAAATAAATACAGAAAAAATACTTAAGGATATATAAAGTGAAGGTTAGAATGTATTAATACAAAAATTTAAGAAACATAGTCTAACCAAAAATATCAAATGTATAAACTTTCACCGGATCTATAAAATCATGAATAAAATTAATGTAATTACTAAATGAAATACGTTTTATTAACATACGGTTGACTGAAATAACTAAAGTTCTGTCGATGGCTAGGGTTGTAGAATACAGTTGTGTAAAGAAAAATAAGTGACAATATAGGAAATGATATTAAGAATTTCGAGACAATCAATCAGCAAACTCAAAACAATTTCTTTATGTCAAAACTCAAATGGTTCTAATATTAATATTCTTTTTTCCATGTCTACAGATATTTAATTATAAAAAATTAGCTTATATTTCGCATACGTATCAACGTATGGTCAGTACATATTCAAACAGTCGTTTCATACAACGAACATTCAGAATACAAAATAAAACCTAATATATTATCATATTAGAAACCCAAATTATGGTCTCTGGTAAAAGAGTTCTGTACAGGTCATAAAATAATCGTTCTACTCGTTATTATTATTTCAGATAAAAAAAAAATTGTAATAAATCTTTATTATATATTTATCATATTATGAATAACCGGTTAAAAAAAAAGACTCGTTGATGACAAGTTTTGAAAAAAATATTTATGGAGTTATTAAGAAATAGGCTGAAGGAAAGTATAGTATGAAGTACAGTATAAATGAGCATGCCTAATTAATGTCTTTTACAACTTATGACCCGATCCGATTATTATCAATATCTTATTAAAAATTCTAAATAATTTTTAAAATCTTATAAAAAAAAAAAGGTATTTTTGATTGTTAGTATTTACATATTGTGGTTAACGTTGATATTTTTATTGTTGTGTATACAAGTGTTCCTCAACTAATAACAATATGTAAATATAAAAGCTTAAATTAAAACTTCACAAGACTGGTTTTTTTACAACTTTGCCTATCTGACTTTATAAAAAATATATATTATACACTTATAATATAACTTGTGCAAATGATTGCAGACACGTATACGACAACGATCGGATTAACATTTCTTCATAGAGACGTTATACATTGTATTGAATAAATTGTATTACTTCTCTAATAAAAATATGGTTTCTTTTAAAACTTAAAAGTAATAGTTGTTATGGAACTTATTAACAACCAACTATTAATCATTTATAAGAAAAAAGTCAAATATAAAGTCCTAAAGATAATAATAGCAATATTTTTTTTTTTTTTTTTAATTACACTTAGTGTTTTTGATCTAGAGGCGCTAAAGCATCCCAGAGTCTGTTAGACCCTCCACCTAGCTGTGCTTATGCGGCTTTCACTGTCAATATGTTTTTACTGGATACACTTGAGAACCTAAAAAAATATAGCAATCTAGGACATAACCTATACATTTCAAAAAAACAAAATCCTTTTTAGATAAAGAGCATATGTATTTATAAAAAAATGCGTAAATTATAATATAAATTATATTCATATGACGCACAACAATGGTAAATATTTTTTTTATCGATAAACTGTCATGCTCAAACAGCTATGTAAATAAATAAACATAGTCTAGCCTGCTGTCAAATATTGATTCATTTCCGAATAATGAGCAAAACTAATAACCAAAAATACTATAAGTTGAAACTCTGCGTCAAAATTTAGTACATCATTTAGTAAGCTGCACTATCAAAAGTCGTAAGTATGCTTTTATTTAAAATTAGGGAAATTTTTTAAATACGTTGGATAAAATTCTATTTTAGAATTTAAGTTTCATTATTATTTGGCTTGAGGTGTAGTGTTAGAATCGGAGTTGGGTATCTTTCGAGTAATTATTTAAATAATGTTTTATTCGAATGAAAAAATTCATTCCAATAACTTTTAAAATAATTGTACGAATAATCTGTAGAAAAAATATTCGAATGAGAATTTACATTTCTCTTGTTGGAATAAATATATATAAATAAATTATTATTTAATTTAAGTAAATATAAAAAATATATTTAGAGTTGTAAACGGCGACCTCTCATCTCTGCAGCAGCACTGAATTTTTTTATGACATCCTTATTAATAACATTTGATTTATCGCGTTCAATCTGAAGTATTCCTAAGTTCCTAAGTTAACCTAACTTAACCGTGACTATCCTATTGTTATTCTTAGGTAATTTTTTATACGTCTAAGAGTCGAAAAGCTTCTTTCCTAAGACGCAGAATAGGTTGGTATTGTAAGGAATAATTTAAATAAACTTTTCAAACTTGGAAACCAACTTTATTATCCCCGTATAATAGATATTTAGCTTTAAATTCAATTTTATTTTCATTATTATGACTTTAATAGGTACATCCGATTAAATATTGATGTTTCTGATGCAAGGGTGTCTTCACTAAAACCATGTAATTTACTTACTTCTTTGTATGAATCTTTCTTTGGATTATCATTTAATAATATGTCTTGCATACATTTCAAAATATGCAAGTCTTGTTCAAACCGTACTCTCAGGTCATTTACAATGTTGTCGAGAACTGTATAGTATATATTTACTATTGTAATGATATTTCACAGTTGTATTCTCATTTTGTTTTAATCCAACTCCAAGTTTTAGGGTTTTTTTCAATCCTGGAAAGTTTTGGACAATTTGTTTCATTTTATTTCCTTAAAATGTCTTTAGTGTCATTGATTTGGCTTCTTGGTTTTATCAGATCCCCTTAACAGAGTCATCCTGCTCTGGTTTTTCTGCTCTAACCGAACTTTTTGTTACCTTCGTATGACGATGGGTTTAAAATCGTCTCCCTTGACATTTTCTTATCTTATGTCAACGGTATTATCAAGACTAATTGGGATAAAGATTTAGTAACTTTGGACGATGTAATAATATTCGCGAGAAATCTATCAGAACATAACTCAAAACTATGCGATGTGTTTGACCGTTTAAGACTACATAATTTGAAAATTTGGATAAATGCAATTTTATTCAAATGGAATGTACTTTTTTAGGACATATTTCTAGTTTCTGGAGATGGTATAAAGCCATACCCGGAAAAGGTTCAGACAGTTTTAGAATTTCCAGTTCCAAGAACACCAACAGAAATAAAGTTCTTTTTAGGCTTGAGTGGGTATAACTGGTCATAACTGGTTGATATTAATATATATTTTTTACATTTTTATAATGGCGTCAACTTCATTTCTAAGGATTTTTTTTAATTGATATAACATTCTATATAAAAATGTTTTCCTTTTTTAATTATCTAATGATTGAATGATAAAATTAAGTAATGTAATTGCAATGTTTTATTATTGTTTTTTTAGATTTCAATAGTATTCAATTTACGCGCCTATATACACCGTCGTACAATGAAGTTCAATGGCTTGTGTCTTTTATCCGTGTTGCTAGTTAGTTCTTTGAATGTCGTTTCGGGACATAGCTGTCTTAATTTTGAACCTATGGATGGTTTCGAAATGGAAAAGGTAAGTTCAAGTCATGCATTTGGTACTTGACAGGATATATTATAACAAAACAAAACAATTGTGTACGAAATATGGATATTCCTAAATCATAACTATTATAGTTATCGGATATGAGCTTAACTATAATTTTAAATATAGCTTTCAAATGTTTATTTAATTTGGTACACATATGACTTGTAATCTGGAAAATATACTAAGTGGGGGATAATTCAATCTTAGCACTCTTTATGAGCGAAGACGGAAAGGGTATACATACAAAATAATCGAAAACTTAATTATTCTTTTTTATTTACACACCTAGTTGACATTTCCTAAAAAAAATCACAGAATAACTGTCTTAAGAATATCGTGTTAATTTATTCCTGTGTACTCGTACTAATCCATAACTTTTTCTATAGTTTTATGGATCATGGTACGCCATTAAAACAACGTTACCATTTACTCGATGCTTAGCGTATGATTTTTACCCACAGAAAGTAAAAAAAATTAAACCTATTACCAATTACCAATTTTATTATGGAGAATTGGAAGCCAATACAAGTTTACCATCAGACATGACATATTCTGATTCTAATCAGGATTATTCAAGTACGTGAAATTTGAAAATTTAATTTTTAAAATTCGCATTTTACAAAAACTTTCTAATACGTTTATGTACAAAAAATTTATATAATAAAATTGCTACCAATATATTTTTACCATTCGTGAGAATAAACCACATAACCTAACCCTTTAATATGTATGTTATAAAAGTACAAACCGGGTGTTTATCATGATTTGACAGATTTCTATATATCGATGGTGACATGGCAAATGGGTCTAAGTGACACTTTGGGTTTAAGCGACACGGCTCTATACCAATAGTATAGGTTAGAAAAATAAATTATAATTCATACATTTTATAATATAATTATATTATTGAAAAATTCCCAATTCTTACTAAAAAAAAGTAATTGGGAACTTAAAAAAAAAAAAGTAAAATCACAAAAAGAACGTTTAGTGGCCATCCTGAAAACTATGAAATATGTCGCTTAGACCCTTTTGCCATGTCACCATCGATATATTGTTATGAGTTCGTTCATCGAGATACACAAAAAATTCCTTATTATTATAAAACTAATGGTACCGCTTGTCAACCAGTTTATATTATAAAGATACCTAATTGGAATTTTTTGTTACACTTTGCAGATCCTGAAGTAAAGAAACCGTCTTTTGTTGTGTTCGACACTAACTATGAATCCTATGCGAGTGTGTTCATGTGCGTAAAAATGCCAAATGGCTCTGGCTTCAAACATTATGTAACCATTTTATCCAGATCAATGGTCTTAGACAAAGAAGTCCTAAATAATGTAAATACAAAATAAAAATTGCTTGGTTTATTATTTATCATTGAACATGATATTTATCATTTTAGAATAAAAAGAAAAATAAATTAATTGAATCTAATTTTTTACAGTTAAAAAAATGTATTGTTTGTTTTTTAATTTACAGTTGATTGTAGATATATTTTCGGTAGCTGTTCTAAAACTCAGTAACGTTGACCACAAGAACTGTAACTATGGGAGTCTCGTTGAAGATAGTAATGATGAGAATATCATTGACGACGATGGAAAACCTTACGTTTCGATTAAATGGATAGAAGACCCTACACCATAAGGATGTATTTAAGTTAATTAAATACGAATAAATTCCAAAGATTTATAATTCAACCAGTTTAGTATTTATGGTTTAGTATTTATCGCTCAAAGTGCACCGGCTGCAAAATGATTGCAACTTTTCATTATTACATGCATATTCAGATAGATATGATTTTTTACAGTTACTGACAACATTTTTAATAATCCAACAAATGTGTTATATCTTATCAATTTTATTTCGTTGAGTGCGTTCATGAACATCGTCAAATCTTTTAGAATTTAATAAAAATTGAAATCCATTTCGCACGTTGACAATTTATTTATTAAGTAGGTACAAATAACACATACACGTAGTATATTTAACTTATAATAATTTTAAAAAAATAACTATTAATCCTAGAAAAATTGAGCAACGCAGGCTATCAGCCCAGTAACAAACATGATAATTCCAGCAACAATGAACAATATGTCTTTGGTGATTACCCACTTTTTTGCGGACAGGCCGTGCACTTTGTGTACCAAGCACATTTCTACGATATATGGAAAAACCATCACGTTCCATACATTTAAACATCCCAATAAGCTCATGTACCGTTCCAGTCGATTATCCATAAACCACGCAACGACGGCTGTTGATAATAACAACATAAACATTTGGAGATAATTTCTTTTCGTGCATTATCAAAAGCCGAGCTAACATGCGTTCAAGTAGAGCCACATTTGGACTACCATCCGCATCTTGCACCAATTAGGTGTTAGGGCGGCTTAAACGTTAACGGTTTCAATATAATATATTATCACAGAATAAACAGAATAGAAACTATCCAACTTTTACATGGGCTCTAATGAGACGGGACAAAATTATGTCCGACATCTTGAATATGATCGAGAAATGACCAGTGCTGATAGGTGTAGGAAAATTCTCATATTTTGTTCATTCTGGCTAAACTGTTCACTCGAAAAACTCGGAAAATGGCATAATGAACATCATTGTCGTTGCACGATATTTAGTATATGAACAGTGTAGCCATAAGTCACAGAAAAATTGAAAACAAGGAAATATCTGAGTTCTGGCATTACTAGCTAAAACTCAATGTCTGATCTTTTATTGATAAGCTCTAAGATCCCCTTCAGTTTATTCTGTGATATTATTATACAACCCTTTGAGTTTACCTTATAACACAACCTTTTATTTTAATATCAGTGTTGCCAACGCCTTTAACCTGTGCATAATTTTTGATCTTATTAAACAAATCTTACACGTAAAACCAGCAAATTTATTGTCTAATCGTAATAGTGTTTTCACATGTTTAGTACTGTATGTACTCATTTAAAATTAAAAAAAGATTGTTTAAAAAAAAAATAACGTTTGTAACATTTCTGTGCCGATAGTTTTACAAACCATTAATAATTTAAAACCGCAACGGTATAAAATTATGGTAAAAAAAAATTAATAGTAGAAATTAATAACATCATTAAAGAGTAATTATACTGAGAATTTAAACTAACCGGACCACCAGATCATGCCCATGCTGAACCTCGTCAACCAATAGACCTCGACGTCCAGGTTCTTTCGACAATTACTAGGAGTAGTCCAAAACATTAAACTTGTTCCGTATAAAAGTCCTTGGTGCACACTCGCTATGTACATGGTGTATAAAACTTTAAGAACGTTGAAAAATCTGAAATAAACAAAACGGCTGTACCTAAAATATAATACTTAATAATAATATTTTCTTTTTAAAGGTATTTTTTCAACATTACATACTATAACAACAGCTAAGTTTACAATGTAGACGGGTACGTACGATGTTAAAAAATGATTTGACGCATTCGTCGACATCACTTTCAGCAACGAAAATCCTAGTTTATTTTTGCTGTGATAAGACAAATAACCGCAAGTGCCCACCACTAGAAACATGTTGGTTATTATGAACATGACAACTCGGAGCATACTCCATGTTGTACCAGCAAACCGCTTTGGCGTGTCCATATCGTCTTCACATTTCATTACCTATATAAGAAATAAGAGAAGCAAATCAAGAAGCTGTCATAAAATAAATAACTAGTTATTTTTAACAAATGAAGCTTAGTACTTTTTTGTTTTATAACCGTTACTTGTGTGTACCAAAAAATGTGCGCAGAGAACACTTTTAGATGGATTGTAATAATGTTAATCTTGATACAACATTTCTGGGGTATTTGTAACTATACGGTACACAGTACAGGGTATATAATATGAATTATTAAAAAGTGTATTTTAAAGTATTTATTTTTTTCAAAAACAAAAGGCTCGTGATTGTTGAAAAATCTTCTAAGAATTGAGCCTGTGCTATTAGTTTTACAATAATGTAGGTTATTATTGTGTCTGTTTATACTGTAACAATTCCTTCGAGTAGCAAATCTTTAAATCACAAATTTTATCTAGTTGGTATTTTGAGGATGGGGGGGGGGGAAGTAGAAATAGTTTATTCCTCGACCCTTTAAATTTGGATAAACAAAAATGAACTATACATCTTTTAAATTTTAAATTTTACTAGCTATATATTCGAGAAAAAGGGTCGGTTTGAGTTGGAATTTATAAGGAATATGTCCTATACTTTCTTACTGTGCTTGGTTTGGACCGTACTAGTTTGAACATAGTAACAACTGATCTACACTGAAGTGTTTATTAAAAAATGATATTACCACTTTCCGTTGTAAACCTGTGAACTCCCATCCCACTTTTCTCCGTCTCTACTGTGTCCTGAGCTCACTATGCCTCGACCTCACTGTAATTTAGTTTACACAATGATTCCATAGATTTTTCTATTTTTACCATCTACAGTTTCATAGGGAAGCATTTATTATAAAGTGATTTTACCACATTCAGTTGTAATAATTCCTGAAAACTTGTAAACTCTCCAACCCCACTATACTGGCTTTTCTTTTTTGAATTCAGAACCATTGGCGATAGAAACACGTTTTTTTTAGCATTTAGCATCAAAAGTATTCGTAAGTTCGAAATATATAGCAACTACTAGGAATTTTACTTTGGGCATAGACGTGTACGCGAACAAAATAATGCCTAAGCATGGCAAAATGTCCATCCAATTATCGTTGGCCATTGTTGCGTCTGCAATGACCACGTCCGGCTTGTTGAACATAACCGACATGATGAATGCGACGGAAATACAAACAAACGTTCCCAATAACAAAACGCACATAAATTCATTGAACAAGTATGTAAAAAGCATGTAGCTTTTTCTCGGCAACGCAACAAACGCACAACACACAATCATGTAAACAATGGCGGCGTCAAGTTCGCTGTTGAAAAAGGACTAAAACAAATAATTTGTATAGAATAAATAACGAAGAAATATGAAGGGCACAAGTGAAGTGGGTATTTGTCCATTTTTTTTTCGTATTTAATATAAAGTTAGGATGGTAGAAGAAGTGCTGTTGGAAAGTACAAAGAGATAAAAATAATACTACACTCCACTTTTCCTCCTGCCCTAAACTCGATACTTCAATAACTTCAAAAACGGTTATCCAAAACTGGTTAACATTTTTAGTACATTATTCTCAATTTAAAAATTAATGAAGTGTATGCGTTAGTTACCAATTTAATTTAAAAAGTTGCTATAAAAAAAAACTAAGTTGGGAGGAGGTAAAAACAAAAACAAATTGTGAAAAATTCATATCACATATAAAAATATTATAAAAAAAAAATTGTACCTCTTATTAAACCTCATAAGATATTAAGTGGTTTACGATAAAATTATCACCCTGTATTAACTCCTTGATGGATTAAGTTATTCATACTGGTCGACAAAAATATGATGTTTTGCTTCTAACAAAACAGGTCGGTTTAAATATGTTATTTTACTTTAAGTGTACATGCAACTAGTTTTTACACGTTTGTTAGAACTTACATTTTTTATTTCAATCCAAGCGTATTTGGTGTACAAACAACTTTTACCAAAAGAAAAAGTCGAGAACATTAATATAGACCAGTATCTGTAATAGCAGGAGATAAAAAAATACACATTGTAAAGTTAGAAATTATAGTCTAAACGCATTAAAAAATGTCTAAAATATTATTACTTGATATAATTTGACAAAAAGTTGCAGTTCGATGGACCGAATGACAGACCTTGTATGATTAAATCGTGGAACCTAAAAAATGGCACTCTGGATATTTGACACATTTTGAATCTTAGACGACACTGATTATGTTTACGCCCACAAAAAAACAACATCCAATTAGTATTTAATTCGGTTGCCTTTCATGGGCTAGTATATTTAATACATGTTTATAACTATTTAAATCCGGGATCGCTATATAAAAAAAAAGAATATCATTTACAGTATATCTTTTAGGAAAACGTTAATTTAAAAATGAATATTAGTTAATAATATGATTATTAATTAAAGCTCCTAATCGCCCAGTTTTATGGTATATACTATATACACAGGAGATATTGCATTTTTTCTTGGTAAACTGTTTTTTAATACATATACTGCGTAATTACCTAGAAATCTTAGCTAAAACGGCTTTGCAGAAGGTATGTACCTACATTGTATTTATTAAGATATCAGATAATATATTGTAGGTACTAACTAAAACCATTATGTTTTTGTCATTCTGCTATTATCATTTTATTATAAATTATCATTAACAGTGAATACAAAATTACATACCAATAACTGACAGAAGATTATCTTAATGGAGATACTGTACTTTGTAAAGTTTATTTTTCTTTTAATACATGACCGTACTACAGAAAATGCAGCATCTCCTTAAATATGAAATCAAATAAAAAATTCAAAACATAAAGGTTGCTTATGACAAATAACCATTGCAAAAAAAAAGTGAGGGAAAATATTAAATTTAAAGTGGAAAACAAAGAAACCGAAAAATTAATTTTCCCAACATTTTGATTATTGTAGATACTGCTTGACTCTTTAAGAGGGCATTACGTTATGGTGGTTAATGCCATCGTCCTGCATTCTTTTAAAATGATAACTTCAAATTTTCCAATAATATTCAACATTTAAATTGATAGCTTATGGCATTTATATGTAAAGAA